GTGAGGATTTTTGTTTTCTTTACATTGAGATGCATGCTGTGGTCTTATACATACCAAACGATCTTCATCAGAAAATATTTTAAGTCCTCTTCACTTTTAGCAAGCAAGATGGTATTATCTGCATAACACAGATTGTTAATGAGTCTTCCTCCAATCCTGATGCCACGCTTTTCTTCATATAACCCATCTTCACGGATTATTTGCTCAGCATAAAAGTGGAAATAGGTACGGTGAAAGAATACAACCCTGTCGTACACCTTTTTAAATTTTAAACCATTCAGTGTTCCCATGTTCTGTTCAAACAAATGCCTCTTGGTCTTTGTATAGATTCCTCATGAGCACAATTAAATGTTCAGGAATATTCATACTTCGCAGTATTGTCTCTAACTTGTCATGATTCACCCAATCGAAAGCCTTTGCGTAGTCAATAAAGCACAGGTAAACATCTTTCTGGTATTCTCAGTTTTCAGCCAAGATCCATCAGCAATGATAACCCTCGTTCATGGCTTCTTCTGAATCTGGCTTGAACCTCTGGAAGTTCCGTATTACCGTTTCCGTAATTACCTTTAATAAAACTTTGGTTTCATGGGATATCAGAGATTCTGCCTGATGATTTCTTCATTCTGTTGGGTCCCCTTTCTTTGGAATGGGCACAAATATGGCTTTTTTCCAGTCAATCAGCAAGGTAGTTGTCTTTGAAATTTCTTGGCATAACGGAATGAGTATAGTAGAAATAAAAGTTTCATGAACTGGATTCTAGTTCTTTCAGCTTTAGCACTTGTGTCTTCTCCAGTAGCTTCCAGAACTGCTGTCTTCACCATGAAGCTCCATGAGTTTTCACAGCTCAGGGTGCCATCTACATTCTTACTTTTCTAATGAACACATCCTGGAGAGGGTCATCTGACAGGAAAGTCTTTTCTCTGTCTTTCCCCAATGCTGCCTGAAATCAATTTATTGGCCACTTGTTTCTGTACTTCTCTGGTCATGATTTTTATCATTTTCTTTTGGATTTGGTGGATCAGTTGGCACTGAGCATGAGATGCCTTCCGAATCTAGTTGTTGCACATTTTAGTAAAACCAACACAGAACACAAGAAACATACCTCAACAGTAGTACTGACATCAACATGAGCTGCAGTTATGTCCTGCCGTTTTTTATTAGAGAGTACATGTCACGGGTCAGATCCATGGCATGGAAGTTTATCCAGCAGTTTTTGCCTTGAACATCCTCAGCAATTGGCTTGAATTTACTAGACACAACGTCATCATTCTGCCAATCAAGGCTCAGTCCCAAAGCATGAGCCTTGAGCCCATCGGATGTAGTTTTGGGTCCACGAGTCGTTGTGACTGGTGCTTTCCTAATACTTGTTATCTTGAACCGAGCTGGTGCCCTTGCATCATGCCAGTCTGTCTTAGGAAATGGATCAGCCCTTTCTTCTTGGCTCCCTTTGTGCCACCTTTTGTAAAGTGTTTATTCTTGGCAACCTCCATGTTGCTGCTCGGAGAGCCCGCTGTTAACTTGTAATTCCATTTGACGTATGGAAAATTTTGAATACTGGTGTCATAGTAGGTTACAAGTAGAGCTGCTAGTTGAAAGGTCAGCAAGTTTGAATCTACCAGGGAAGAAATGAGGTTTTCTGTTCCCCTAAGGATTTACAGCCAACTCAGTGACACACAGCCACAACCACCAAAATGAGAGAAAATGTTATAATGTGTGCAATTCATATTCTACCACTAGTGTAATTTTAAAAACACCCCAGTGGTATGGTTAAGTGCTCCGCGGTGTGAGGGTCTCCTCCCATAAAGATGAAAGCCTCGGAAACCTTATGGGACAGATTCTACAGAAGTGCTGAGTGACAATGAACAACAGTGGGATCACAGAGGGTAAATTCTGCCAGATTAATAGGCTCTGAATTCTGAATAGCTACAGTCTGGGAATTGGAACATGGGCCAAATTATTTTCACTTAATTATATAAGTCATATAGAAGTCCTGGTATATCACTGTAGCATATGCACTGGACTGCTAACTGCAAGGTCAGTGGTTCAAACCCACCAGCCTCGCCTCTATAATAGAAGCGGTATCAGTAGTAACTGACTTGATGGCACTTAGCCACAAAACAATAAGTCATTTGTAATGAAACATAAGGTAAGTAAGGGTGGAGAGTTGGAAGCTGCTTTTTGGAACATTGTATAATTCAGTAGACTCTTAATTCTGTGTCATTTTGGTTTTCAAAATATTTTTTTAATCTGATTATATTATCACGAGTTGGACAATAGCAGTTGGATTAGTAGCATTTACCTATGACTTTTTATTCTTTTCATAGTGAATGAATTTCCTGTGCTTAAAGCTGATGGCATCAAATATATTATGATTTTTAGAAACCAAGTAAGTAGCTTTTCATTTGTTTATATGCTACTTGTTACCTAAGTTTTATTGTGTGCCACCTTTTCTTCCATTCTGTGGAATCAATTGACATCAACATTTAATAACCTTGTCGATCTGGAGACTTTATTAGATTTGGATTCTTGAGAGGAGCCAGTCATATCCTTTCTGTGTCATTTATCAGAACATGCATAGTATCTGATTGCTTATTACTTTTAGTGATATTCATGATCAATGAGTTCAGACAAAGAAGAAACTTGGCCTCATCAATTTTTAAAATAGCATTCTGTGTAATTGAGATGTACTTCACACAACAAAATGCACTATTTTAAAATACACATTTCAGTGGTTTTTAGAGTCTTTATTATGTTGCTAGCCTCGGAAACCCTGTACAAGGTCACTATGAGTCGCAACCGCCTCCACAGCACATAACCAACCAACCAGCCAGCCAATTATGTTGTGCAACCTTCACCTCTGTCTACTGGTGTATGGTGATGTGAGATAATGCACTGGACCATAAGGTCGATTTGTAACCGCAGAATTGGCAGTTCAAATATACCAGCTGCTTCTCATAAACCTGGTACAGGGTCACCATGAGTCAGAAACAACTTAATGGCACTTAACAATAGCTACAACAGGAAGACGATAAGGGGACAGGTGAAGCTGTCTATTCCCACACAGATATATTGTCTAGCCCAATCTGCTGCACGAGACCTTTGTAAAGGAAGAGCAAAGAGGTCAGCTTGAGGTCTAAGGTGCACCTGATCCAAGCCATAGTATTTTCAATAACCTCATATGCATGCAAAAGCTGGACAGAGAATAAAGAACATCATAGAAGAATTGAGTTATGGTGTTGTAGGAGAACATAGAAAGTACCATGGACTGCGAAAAGGACAAATAAATCTGTGTTGGAAGAAGTGTGGCCAGAGTGCTCCTTGGAGGTCAGGATGGCCAAACTTCGTCTCTCATGCTTTGGACATGTTGTCAGGAGGGACCATTCGCTAGAGAAGGATATCATGTTTGATAAGGTGGAGAGTCGGAGAAAAAGAGGAACACCCCCAGCGAGATGGATTGGCCAAGTGGCAGCATCAGTTGGCTCAAGTGTGGAACAATTAGGAGGTTAGCCCAGGACCCCGGGCAGTGTTTCATTCTGTTGTGCATAGGGTCACTATGAGTCAGTACCGACTCGATGGCACCTAACAACAACAACAGAAAACAACTGTCTTTGTCTTATAATACCCCACCAGGACCCGGTGGTATGTACAAAGTTGCCCTCTTTTTTTTTCATAGCTCCACAGCATTACCAAGATGGACTGACCATGTTCTGTTTTAAGTAGGAGGGGCCTGACTAGCCATTGTGCATGTCTCACTGTGCTTAGGCCTTTTCACCTTTGGGATCCTGTTCTAGAAGTAACATTGTAGGGTTAGGGATGTTGTATGGTGCTTTTCTTTAAAAATCGACCGACTTCTTTCCCAATATATTATGTTGGAATTGCACAAATCCAGAAATGACAACTCACTGTAGTTGCAGTATGTAGTTTCCTTATTTTGAGTATTTAATTTTTTTGAGATACTTGAATTTTTTTCGTTAAATTTTCCATGTTCTTCTGCCTGCTTTTCTATCTCATGGTTGTTTTACATTTTGGTTTTTTTTCTTAATTTTTAGAAAACGTTTTTTCTTTTACTTCTTATACTTTAATTTTAGTGAGATTAAAAAAATATATGCAAATCATATTTCTGTAACCCCTTTTTTCACCACAACAGTGCATCCGACTTGTAAAATATTTTTGGCACAAGGAGGAATAAAGAATATACTACAGTAAATCTCTGCATGTTTATGACATGCCATTTTTGTCATATCTTAGCTCCATGCCTTCATGGCTTAAACGTAGAGATACCAGAGTGCCATCCTAGGCACTTTTACTCTTCCTCTATAGGGGTATAGTCTGTAATCAAGTGAGGGAGGTTTATGCCCATGTATGTGTTTATATGTTACTATGTGTTTCTATGGAGTCCTGCTATGACACAGGAGGGACAGCACTGGATTCCTTGGAAACCCTATACAAGGTCGCAAAATGGCTCTTAACAACAATACATATTTTTATATATTCATGAATACTAAGCAGAGTTCTATAAGTTCTCTAAGTATGGCATCCCATTCCACTCTGTAACACATGGGTCACCACCCTAAGTCAGAACTGACAACTGGTGTGTTTTATATGTTTTGAGTGTTTCTTTTTTAGAATTACTGAGCTTAGTACATGTAACTATAGGTTTTTTTTGTTTTTTAAAAACAACTGTGTAATAGTCTCTTATAAAACCATGCTGTGGTTTAATTCCTGTGGATACTTCTTTATTTTCTTCAATTTCAAAATTAGAATTTTGATGTCGGTTTGGCAGCATTTGGCAAGGTTAACTATACTAGTAACAGTGACAAGCTGTTCTATTTTCAAGACTAAGTAGTGTATGTTCTAGATAGTTAGAGGCTTTTTTTAATGACAATTGGAGTCCTGGTTGGGCGCTGTAGGATCAGCACTGGACTGCTAACAGCAAGGTCCAGTTCAAACCCAACCATCGCTCCTTGGGAACCCCTTTACAGGGTGGCTGTGATTTGGAACTGATTCAACAACAATTGATCATTCTTTCTGCCCCTTTGTTTTTTCAATTAGAAAATGAGGCATAAAGAGGCTGACTTGTCTAAGAAATATCTGAGATTGAAAAGCTTTTAGGATTGTGTAATGTTAGTGTACTTTTCCGTTATAATACTATTTTATTGTGTGTTTGCTTGTCTGTAAGTTTACTGTCATCGTTTTGTTCAGGTTGTCTCAAACTAAGAATTGTTAAAAATGATACCATGCAGAGTGTCGACGTTTCAGTTTCTTAACACTATCATCTCCCATTATAACAGATTTAAAATAAAACTTTTTTTAAAGTAGCAAATGCTTTCTGCTTCAATTGCCTTTTAGTTTAAAAACCATTTTTTAACAGAATATGTTTATTGTTTTTATTTTCTAGGTACCAAAAGAGCATATTTTGGTCTCTATCCCTCTTTTGATAAATCATCTTCAAGCTGAAAGTGTGGTTGTTCACACGTACGCAGCTCATGCTCTGGAACGGCTCTTCACTATGCGAGGCCCTAACAACGCCGCTCTGTAAGTATTGCTTTTAGTAATTGATACATTTCTTAGCTCTGGGTGGAGGTTCTATATATACTGTGTCAAAAGTTTACGTAACTTTATTAGTAGTTAGGAAAAGAAATTTGTACTTTTTTTGCAGTTATACTCAGTCTCATTTCACAAAAGGATTTCAGACAGCTTACCAAAATAGATCATTATGATAGAATAAATTTAATTACATGAGGAAATTGGAGGTTACTGGAGGTAAGGTTAATGAACAACATGTATTATGTCAAAGGATATAAAAAGTAGCTGTAAAAAGTGTGTGGAATTTAATTGTAGTTGGTTCCGACTCATAGAGACCCTATATAGGGTTTCCAAGGAGTGGCTGGTGAATTTGAACCTCCAGCTTAGTGGTTCAGACAGACTTTGTGGTCCATTGCTGATCCTACAGCGCCCAAAGGAAACTTATTGAATTAAATATTTGGAATGTTCATGAGATTTCAAATCAAAATGTTATAGAGAACACATCTCAGAATTGGGTGTGCAGTGAGGGAACCCTGAGCAGTCAGCACTGTTCCACAATAACACGCAGCCGTTTTCACACAGCTCTTTAGTGCTAACTCTCAGTGCTGACATAGTCAGAGCTGAGTGAAAGTCATTCTCTAAAAGCCTGATCCAAGGATAAAATGTAGAGGAAGAGTGGGGAATGCCCAGCCTGCATGTTGTATAATGCCCATGAAGTCATTTGGTTGGACCCTGCCATGGCAACCTCAGTTCCAGCCATCACGTTGTTGGGAAGTGCCATCAAGTCGGTTCCGACTCATAGCAACCCTGTACAGGGTTGACAAGGAGCAGCTGGTGGGTTTGAACCACCAACCTTTGAGTTTTGCAGTTCATTGCTGATCCCGCAGCACCACGGTTTACCAAATACAGCAGGCTAATTTTAAGTTTTGTGTGGCCCATGAATGTTGTTATAAATTTTGGAAGACAAAAATATTCCCCACTTCTGCTGTAGAGGAAGGGATGGTCTGCTTATCTCTCAGGCCATTCTGCAGCAGTGTTATTTATTGAAACTCTCTAGCTTTGGGTAAAGAATGGATAATAGTTCTAGGTTCTTTGTTCCATCAAGAACCAAAAGTACGACATTCTTGGTCATGTAAGGGTTAAGAGGACATTTTTTGAAGTGAGCCAAGGCCCATAATTGATGGAGAAAACCTACATGTTCTCTACCTTTAGAGCAGATTGATATTATGTCCCCGAGAGACTTGTTACTGCAGTGATAGAAGTGAACCAATTATGTTTGACTTTCCTGGATTTTAGTTTGTTTAGTTGTGTAGGGCCCCATATATATGCCTTCTTTATGAACTTAGAATGAGCAGGTAAAAAGCCTTGGTGGGACAGTGGTGTAAGTTTTGGGATGTTAACTGTGAAAGGTTGGTGATTTGAAGCCAGCAGCTGGCTGCTCTGCAGGAAAAAGATGTGGCAGTGAGCTTCTGTGAAAGCCTCGCCTCAAAGCCCTAGAGAGCATTCGGGCTCTCCTGTAGGGTTGCTGTGAGTCAGGTCAATGGTAGTGAGTAGGAGCAGATAGAAAACGGCATTTCCCCAAGCTCTCTGCCAACTCTGAGTGTTGGGAGATAGTTTGGTTTTATGTTGAGAAGTGTCATTTAGTTGCCAAGGGTATTCCACAGTGACTAGCTCAAGAGATGGTAGTGACTGAAAGCTGTTTTTTCATCTATAGCTTTACAGCTGCAGAAATTGCACCGTTTGTTGAGATTCTGCTAACAAACCTTTTCAAAGCTCTCACACTTCCTGGCTCTTCAGAAAATGAATATATTATGAAAGGTAGGCCAATCCCCTGGGGTACAGCTTGTAATGAAGTATCTAATCTCAGATTTCAAAGGTAAACACTCTGAGTTACATTTTAGGTTACATAGTTTTTAAAGCAGATACAGCCAAGAATTTGACATCCTTCCATATGTTTTAATGAAAAGTATTATTTATATTGTGTTTTCAGGAAATTATTTCCTTAACTTGATCTAGAACTTGTCTTATAAAAAAGCAGCAAGCTTTTTCCCCCCAACAGTGGTGTGTATTTACTGTTGGGTCCGTTTCTGAGAGGGCAGGTAACTGGTCTGTGGGCTTCAGTATTCTATTCCTAGAGTGTGCGAAAGCACTGGGGTTGCTTAGCTTCTCAACAAATAGCATTGCATGTGTACATACAAAAGGACTCCTTGGCAGCCCAGAGCAGGGACACCTGACTCACCTCCTAAGTCTCTTAACCTCAGACAAGGGAATGGCTTTCTCTAGGAAGTAATGTCTAAGCTAGCTGGAAGGCGAGTGTGTCTTTGGCTCAAGTAGAGGAACTCACACCCAGAGTTTTGGAGACAGTAATCCCTTTGCCAGACATGTAGTAGGTATTCTGTTTAGCAACCATTTGCTCTGTTTGTAAAAGAGGTAATCTATAATTATAGCTTATTGATGCATTTGTCTTTGAAGCAAATGTTTTTAAACATCTATGAATGAGCAATATCTTTTGTCATTTGAGTCCTTGATGACTTGATAATGGATTTTTGGATTTTCCAGACTCTTTCGGGAGAAGGTGGGCGGTGGCCTTTACTTACAGTGTCCTGTACACTGAAGGCGTGTTTCCTTGAGGCTTGGGGTCAACACTGCCTGCACCGCTTTCTAAGCAAACAGGGCCCAAGGCAGTTCTATGTGGCCCTTGACTGTTGTCTCTCCTGCAGTGTCTAACCCCCATTCCCAAAATAAATATCAGCCCACTAGTTCTTGATTCTTTGGTCACTGAATTATTTTTTCTTGACCCTTTCTTAATTCGTCACGCCTTAGGCCTTCTGGAAATACTAGGAATATTTCCCTGCTAAATTTTGTTACCAGCCCCATTCTAATTTTAAAAGGATGGAAAATACAATTAAAAAATGTAAACAGCTATATATTTAAGCTATATCCTGCTTAAATTTTGATGAATTTAAAGGGATGCTTCTTACTGTTTTATTCTGAAGTTTGGCCTATGTTTTGCTGTTCTCTGTGTTGCAGCTATCATGAGGAGTTTCTCCCTCCTTCAGGAAGCCATAATCCCCTACATCCCAACGATCATCACTCAGCTAACCCAGAAGCTGTTAGCTGTTAGTAAGGTAACAGCAGTTTTTGAAAGTACAATTTTTTAAATTTCTATTCCAAATTGTTTGACCTCAGGACTCCATTGCAGAGTTTGGAGAAAAGCCCATAAATTCTTACTAGCCTGTTAGTAAGCCTTTCCAGAACTGGAGATGGTATTAAGATTGGAGACATGTTCATTGTAGAAAAGTGAGAAAGTTCAGGCAGTCTGACACTGTGTTAAATGGAGGAAAGGAGACTGAACTAAAAGAACCTATAAGAGACTCTTTGGACCTTAAGTTTTAGAAATAAGAATATGGAGGCTGACAATTCCCTTTAAGGTAGTTACTCCTAATTACTCTGTGGAGAGATGAATTCATAAAAGGATTTAGAGGGACATTGAAGAACCGAGTGGTGAGTTTTTATCTGAATTCTGGGCATGGATTGTCCACTAATCTGGGACCTGGGGGAATGAGGGAGAAGGAGAATGCATACACAACTACACACATACACACACACATTGCCTAGTAAATGCTGTCTCGTTAGTGCCGTTGAGTCTAGTCTGACTCACAACGTCTCTGTAGTTAGTGGATTTGAAGAGCCGACCTTATGGCTCACTGTCCAGCACGGATGCTACAGTGCCACACCAGTAGTCCAAAAGATACTTCCCTGACTATGAACTGAACCTGGGCCGCGGTTAGGATTCGGTGATCCTAACCACCAGGGAAAAACATACACTCATCTTTTGACTTTATCAGTTTTATATGGTAGTCACCCAAGAAGGATTATGTTAGACAGAAATACGGTTTTCTGCATAAAAGAAGACATTTAGAAATGACCGGCATGGGTGAGCTTGACTCATAGCTGCTGACACAGGCCGATTGTCCCTCAGCGATAGTTGCAGAGCCAGTGAACAGGCTTCCGGCCGTGATGACTCCAGAGAGTGCACACTGTTCACTCAACAACTGAACGTTAGCGTGATTTGGTAGGACTCTGGACTTTAGCCTGTTAAAAGCAAGCTAATACTAGCAATTATTTTGCATTTCTTGAATTTTAAGATTATAAAGTTTAGCATATATACAGTATTTCTAGTATACCTGTGTTTGGATGTTGATTTAAAAAATGAATGCTTATCCTTTAAATGTTTCATAAAGATGTTTTGTTTAGTATAGTCACATGGACTACAGAATAAATAGTTTTTGTTTTACTATTGAATTTCAGAATCCAAGCAAACCTCACTTTAATCACTACATGTTCGAAGCAATATGTTTATCCATAAGAATAACTTGTAAAGCTAACCCTGCTGCTGTTGTCAATTTTGAGGAGGCTTTGTTTTTGGTGTTCACTGAAATTTTACAAAATGATGTACAAGGTGAGCTTTATAAAAGTTCTTTTCTTGAATGGAATGAAATTATTAAAGTAGCTATAAAATAGCTTGTGTGGGATTTTTATGAGAGCATTCACCTTGAAGCTAACAGCTTATTTATTTTCATCAACAGAATTTATTCCCTATGTCTTTCAAGTGATGTCATTGCTTCTGGAAACACATAAAAATGACATCCCATCATCCTACATGGCCTTATTTCCTCACCTCCTTCAGCCGGTGCTTTGGGAAAGAACAGGGAACATCCCTGCACTGGTCAGACTTCTCCAGGCCTTCCTAGAGCGTGGCTCAAACACCATAGCAAGTGCTGCAGCCGACAAAATTGTGAGTCCTGTTCATTTGGACGTCGTCCTGTTCTAAGGTAGCTTTGAAAAGCTAAAGATGGCAGGAATCAAGTTATTTTTTCTTTATAAAAAATAAGAAACCATTGAAACTTTTGCAAGTTCAACAGATATTTTTAAAATTCTTAAAATAATTTTACTGAAGAGTGAAGTGGTTGGTTTGAACGTGTTTGTGTGGTTTTGTTAGGATTAGGGACCTTTAGGGTTACCTCAGTGGTGGCTTTCTAAAGAAGAGGCAAATGGATTGATTTCAGGAAGGGTAAGTTCTTTAGGAAGATTTTAGTTCTTTAGGAAGAACTAAAGAGAAAAGGCTAATTCTTTTTTAAAATGTCTTAACTTTTTTTTTTTTCAATGTTATCTAATTTGTTACAGCCTGGGTTATTAGGTGTCTTCCAGAAGCTGATTGCATCAAAAGCAAATGACCACCAAGGTTTTTATCTTCTAAACAGTATAATAGAGCACATGCCTCCGTGAGTACAAATTACCTTCACTATGCATTTAAGTTTTTCTGTAGTACTCAGGGAAATGCTATATTTATATTGTTGTATTTTTATTCTTTAGTGAGTCAGTTGACCAATACAGGAAGCAAATATTTATTCTGCTATTCCAAAGACTTCAGAATTCCAAAACAACAAAGTTTATCAAGAGTAAGTAAAGTCATCTGCGTGATCCTATTGAAATGAAGGAAAAGGATTAAAACCTTGGGCTGCTTGCTATAGGAAAATAATGGAGTCAGTGGCTGTGAGGAAGAGAAATTTTGTTTTCTCACTGTCTGCAAAGCTCTGCTGTCTGAGCTAAAGGGGAAGCTCTGGGCTCTGTCTTCCTTAGAGCATTCTTTTGTTCCTTGGCTTGTTAAGCCATCCTTATATATTGTGTGCCCTCCTTCCCCCGCCCCCCAACTTTGTGGGGGGCAAGGTGGGGGTTTGTTTTCTGTTTTAGAAACCCACCACTGAGAAGGGACCTACCTCAGTGACTTCACTTATAACACTTTCAAAATTGTCACATTCATAAGTTACAGGGTTAGGACTTCCTGTCTTTTTAGGGACACATTCTATCTACAACCGATTTTTCGATTATAGATAATCCTCTGATCAGTTGTGAATGTTACACATATTTTTAAATGTGTTCTCAAAATACTGAATCATTTTCAAATGTGTTAGGTGATTTAAAGGTTGGTTTATAAGTTTAGATCAAAATATTTTTCCAACTGAAATAATATTGTATTAGAAGGCAAGTCACTGATGCGTAAATCAGTAGTTGTGGTTTTTTGTAATGATGACGAATGTTTCATTTGGTAGAAATACTTGTCCATGCTAAGACCTAAATCATTTGTAATAAATCCTTAATACTTATGTCTTCTTTCAACAGGTTTCTTAGTGTTTATTAATTTGTATTGCATCAAATATGGAGCATTAGCGTTACAGGAAATATTTGATGGTATACAACCAAAGTAAGTATGTTCTTAATACTTTCTTTATAAAAGGAAGGAACGATTATCTGTTTTATAGAGGATTCTATGGCTCTTGGTACAGTGATCCTATCTTTGTGATTTTCCTTCAAAATGTCCTTAATTGGTGAGTTGTAAAGAGGAAAATCCTAGCGAAATAGTTCTGATTGCATCTGTGAGTACGCTTCTCACAGAGCTGCTAAGACTGATGGTGTTTTCAGGAGTCTGCATCTGATAAGGCCAACAGCATGACTTGAAATGAGAAAAAATTGGACCTAAAAATGTTACATTTGACAGTTATTTAGCACATAATGTAATTAGGTGTCAGTTTGCATTCATGGGGTAAAAAATGAGTTAAAGAAATGATACCAGACAGCTTCTGGAAGGAAAAACTCAAGCTGTGTTTGTTAGAAAAAAATTTTTTTTTTTAATGTAAAAAATAAATTAACCCAAAATTAGTAACAAAGAGCTTGATTTCCAGCAACAATGGGTTGTGAGGAAGTGTGCAGTCTCATGCACTGTGTGTTGTTAAGTACTATGATGTTGGGTCCAAGGAGTAGCTGGTAGGTTTGAAACACCAACTTTGCGATCAGCAGTCCAACGATGCCTGCAACATCATGCCAGACACCCATGCACTGCTGTGAGGGCCTGATAGGCCTCCTGGTATGGCACTATAGGATCATCACTGGACTGTGAACCACACGGTGGGCAGTTCAAGCCAACCAGCTGCTCCTTGGAAACCCTATAAATGGTTGGAATGATTTGGAACTGACGAGACAGCACTTACAGAGCTCTGGTAGCGTAGTGGTTACGAATAGGGCTACTAACCTCAGCTGAGGTCAGCAGTTCGAAACTACCAGCTGTTCCACGGAAGAAAGATGAGAGGCTTTCTACTCCCGTAAAGATTTACAGCCTCGGAAACCCTGGACAGGGTCGCTATGAGTAAACCAATTCCTTGGTACACAGCCACCAGCCAAGACAGCACTTAACAACATTCAGAGCTATTAAAATGTCTGTACTTTTTGTACCCAGTGTTTCTACTTCAAATAATTTTTGTATTAAAACAAATAAGATCTTGAAAGTTTTACTTCTGGGATGTTTGCAACAACATAAAATGATTAGCGAAATAATTTTTGTAATAAAACTATGAACATTTGCATAGAAAGTTGTGTGGATTACAATCCAAAATGATTCAAACTAATTAACACTAGATGGGCTTTGATGCTCCTAGTTCTACTCTCTAATTTTTCAGAGATAAACAATCAAAGAGAGGGATTTTCATTGAGCACAGGCATGTGACAATGTGACTGTTCATTAACAAAGCAGATGACAGTTGACTAGAAGGGAGACGTTTGGTATTGTCATCTCTAGGACTCAGTTCTTTACAGTGAACAAAGTTCGTAGCTTTTAAATTGAAAACTTTATCATCTTTCACTAAATACAGTAGGACTGTAATCATGAGTGGATTTATTTTGGTTTGGTTTAATAGAATGTTTGGAATGGTTTTGGAGAAAATCATTATTCCTGAAATTCAGAAGGTGTCTGGAAATGTAGAGAAAAAGATCTGTGCTGTTGGCATAACCAAATTGCTGACAGAATGTCCCCCACTGATGGACGCTGAGTATACTAAGCTATGGTAAGTACACCTAGCCTTTTACATTTGGGGACACTAGAACTTCTTTCCCTTAGGATGGCAAAATGAGCCAAGGGTATTCTCTTGAGAGCTTCTGATCTTGGCTTCTGCACTAACAACAGTCTTGTCCCTTTTGGGGAGGCGATATGGATGGACCAGACCTCTAGACCCCTTTGAGAATCTGCTGAAAGTGATCTAAGAGAAGCCCAACCAAACCAGCTAGTTCTTTACAAGGAGGACTGCCCAAGCCAAGAGGGCCTGACCTGGTGCTCTATGGCAGAATTCCCCTGGCTTGTTTCCACCTCTTGCTTTTCATTCACTTGTTTTGGTTCCACTCTGGCAGCCTCTCCTCCATGAAGTGGTCCAGCAGCTTGAGGTTTATGTGTTTTTCTAACAGAGGCCAGTGTTGAATTTCCTTGACTGGCCTTAGTTTGGGTCACGTGCCAGTAGTTAAGGCTGCTAGGCCCAAAATCAACAGTTCAAATCTACCCACTGCTCTGTGGGAGAAAGATGTACCCAGCTGCTTCTGTAACGATTACAGCCTTGGAAACTCTATGGAGCAGTTCTAGGTTACTATGAGTCAGAAATGATGCCCCGATAATGGGTTTGGTGTGGGGTCAGGTAAGGACAGGTCGCATAGGCGAAGCCTTTGAGACCTATGAGGGTTGACTAGTTTTCCAAAGACAAAATCTGTGTGCTGTGGCTGCAAGAATTGAATTGTGTCTGGGTAAGCAGAAGGCACTGATACCCCTCTTCATTTCATAAGTCTCTTCCTACATTTGAGACTTGAGTATATAATTTTATTTTAGGAATTGCTACTTGTTTTATTTCTTCCCACCCAGGACTCCTTTATTACAATCACTGATTGGTCTATTTGAGTTACCTGAAGATGCCACTACTCCTGACGAGGAGCATTTCATTGACATTGAAGATACTCCAGGCTACCAGACAGCCTTCTCACAGTTGGCGTTTGCTGGGAAGAAAGAGCATGATCCTGTAGGTCAAATGGTGCACAACCCCAAAATCCACCTGGCCCAGTCACTTCATAAGTTGTCTACTGCCTGTCCTGGAAGGGTGAGTGTCTGCTTTGTCAAACAATTGTGCATCTGGTGAAAAGGCAAGAACAGTGTTTGTACCTCTTTTTATTGGCCAGTGTAATTAAATTACTGTAATTACGATGACGGGTCCTCTTTTCCCCTTCATAATGTACTGTAAAACATAAGTTTAAGAGTATGGTTTTAGGAATAAATAAAGATGGGGAAAGAGGGTCTTTAAAGAGGAATGTATTTATTTACCTGAATGAACTAATAATCATACTAGTGTAGAAAGCATGAATCCACTCTTACAATGTGGCATTGATTTTTTTACCTGCAAAACACCCAGAAATTAACTAGTGGAACGTGGAGTGAACCCAGTAGTGGCTGCATGGTTACATTTAGCCAGTACAGAATTTCATGTTTTCTGCTATTTATATTTTCAGTGTTTTATTATGAAAAATTTAACATTTATACAGAAGCAACAGTGTAATAGATCTTCACATCCCTAGTTTGAATTACCAGTAATTATCGAATACTCACCATAATGCTGTTGTCACACCTAACTAGCAGCTATAAACCTGGATATGGTTCTGCTTTTTATACCTATCCATTTTTTAAGGTATTAAAATAAGTGAATTGTTTTGGAATCCCTGTAACAATGATTTATGACTTGATGCCTCCTCCACAGAACGTGGATTTATGTTGGCATGACTGATCCATCTCTCAACAGCCAGGACCTGTTTCTGATCTCTTGCAGGTCCCATCGATGGTGAGCACCAGCCTCAACGCAGAAGCTCTTCAGTATCTTCAAGGATACCTTCAGGCAGCCAGTGTGACACTTCTCTGAACTGCATTTTTCTAACAGGCTACCATGCCCGACGGTTTCTGTGGAGATAGATGATGATGTAGACATCTGAGCAGAGCTGCATTATAACAGCACGTTCACCTTTTCAACTTGTCACAAAATCCATCTTGTAAAGGATATTAAATGTTGCTTTAAGCCGAACCTTGAGAAAATTAGGTGGTTTGTGTGATGATAAATAGAAGTGGGGAATTTTTCCAGTTTGCAGCACTGAGGGACCTAGTGCTCATTGAGTTGAATGTTTGTGTGTTTTTTTTTTCACGGACTCTGGCTGTGCAGCCTTTGACTAAATTTACCCTTTTGTTTTGAGACTGTTGTCATTTGTATTTCTCTTGCCCTGTGTATGTTTGTCTGTTTCCTTAGCTTTCATTGGCAATGTAAGAATCACTTGTAAAGTTTGCCAAGCAATGCACATTTCATAGTTTTAAATCAGCAATAAACAAAGCCGTAAAGTACGTACGTATTTAAGACCATCTTAAGGCCAGGTTTTCAGTGCTCTCTGATGCTTTCATAATGGAGAATACTTTAAATCTTACCTTCCTCCAGGAATCATAAAGTTGTAATATATTTGTAATTCCAGCTGAAAGAATTTAATTTTATAAGGGGAAAGGGAACATTAATTCCTGGTTTGGGTTTAGCTACTGGAACTTGGATGTGGCAGTGTGAGCTTTGTGCAGGTGGTTTCCTCTGGAAAGTGAGAGGCTCTCCCTGGCTTTGCAGTGCCTTTGGGGGACATTCAACTGTGTGGATATTTGGTCTTTCCTACAATGCCTTTCTTCCTTACCTATCAGAAGTTACTTGGAACTTTGCAAACAACAGCCTTTTAGAAGCCCGAGAATTCTGAGGAGCAATCGTAAGTATATCCAAATCCATTGTTGGACACAGTTTTGGCAGCATTGAGTCATGTTATTAGTACTTTGCTTTAAGCAGTCTTTGGAGGAAGAATTCTGTGATCTCCTTGGAATATCCAGCATCCATTATCTAGGATCACTGAGGATGCTCATACATGCTAGGTGCTCAGGGGCTGAAGTCCTCAATTGTGTTCTTCCTAAATGAAGGCTAGTGGTAGTGGCTCATCTTTGTGTAGTGCCAAGCAACTGTGCCCTTCACTCTCTCATCAGTATTCTTGTTTTTTGTTTGTTTTTTTTTTAAGAGACGGGAAATTGATGTTGCTGTCGTGTTTACTGACAGGTTTCAGTGGCTGTCACTCGGCACTGAAGCCCAAAGAGCTGAGTCCACAAAGATAGGAGTTGGAATTACTACAGCTCTGCCACTAACTGGCCCTTTGTGCTTTTCTCTCCTCTTCTGAAAAACGAGCAGACAGATTTTCTCATTTTAGGCTCACAGCAATCTTGATGGTGAAGTACTTCCAATAGAGTGCCTGGTGTAGAATGAATACCAGGAAAGCTGCTGTTGCTTGGTTTCAGTTGGTGGTAGGAGAATGGAGAACACTGCTCTCACCACCTGGCCTGTGGCAGCCATGGGAGGTGGGAAGCTCTTTTGGGGGAGAATAGTCCTGGCTGAGGTAGGTCTTGTACCTGCAGAGAATTTTTAGACTCTGGGAAATGTCTATAGGGTCCACTGGTTCATCCTGCGGTTATTACCTGCTTCTGATTTTAAGTGTGTCCTATTCAATAATTCTAGCTACTTTAAACCTGGTTTGCTTCCTTCAAAGTTGAGATCATTCTGTATACATGAGTTTCAAAGTTTGTAGAAACTGGAATTAGTAGAATGAAGTTATGCACAAATTTTTTGAATCCTCATATTTTTGTTTTCAAAGCTTAATACTTGATAAAACATGATTTTCAGTGTTTATATATAGGGTTTTATCATTTCAGTGTATCATCTAAAATTATATGTAGTTATTATCATTGTTAGACATGTTAGAATTTTATGATTTTCTAAATCTTTTACACATAACTTGATGAACATCCTTATCTATTAAATTTTGTCTACATTTCTGGTTATTTCCTGAAGTGGGGTTGCTATCAGATGCTGTTATCTTGACTAAGCAACTCACATGATGAGAGTAAAACTCTCTCAGTAGGTCTCCTTGGCTGCAGTTTTAATGGAAGTCTTTCTCCTAAGGAACTCGAATTCAAATCTCCGGAGTTTTGTTAGCAGCAGAGTGCTTACCCATTTGTACTACTGTGGTGGTGTGAAGTGCCGCTGAATCGATTCCAACCCATAGCGACCCTGTATAGGGTTTCCAAGGAGAGGCTGGTGAGTTTGAACCACCAACCTTGTAGTTCAAACAACTTTAACTTTGAATTAGCCCACAGCGCCCTAAAGTAAAACTGTAGGGTCAGATTACCCCATAGAAAGGTGGTGCCAATCTAGACACCACACGCCATTATTTCTTTTTCTTGTTGACAATATTGATGTGTGAAAATGGTTTCATTTTTTATCTAGTGAAACATTAATAATTAGTTCGGCACTTAAAACTATTATATGCACATGGTATGATTCTAATAGGAATTAGGGTTTGATAACAGAGCAGCAGGTTTCTACCTGACCCCTACTTCCTTCTACTCTGGGAAGCAGCACTTTTAATTAGTACTGCCTTGAGGTTTTTTTTTAAATAACTTTTAAAACTTTATTTTGACAAGATGATCAGTTTTACATTTAACAGATCACTTTGTTTCATCTCAATGATTGCAGTCCCCTCCACTCAAGTTTTCCCACTTCCTCTCTCTGGTTACTTATGTGCTGATATCCTCTTTCAAAATCGAGATTTTACCACAACTACAAGGAGCTCTGGTAGCGTAGTGGTTACGAATCGGGCTGCGAACCTTAAGGTCAGCGGTTCGAAACTACCAGTCGCTCCGTGGGAGAAAGATGAGGCTTTCTACTCCCGTAAAGATTTACACCCTCGGAAACCGTGTACAGGGTCGCTACAGGTCGGACCCGACTCGATGGCACTTAACAACAGCAACAACTTGATAAAGAAAGATTTGACGCACATGACTGCTACTCTACAGAGTCTGTCCCTTAGTAGTTCTGTTTATCTTGAAGTAGTCAACAAACACTTCCTTGTCCCATCCACTTCCGTCCAGATCTCCGGATGATAGGCACTACCTATGACTGACTTGCCACTCTACACTGGTCAGGTCTGTCTCCCTTGATCCACTGCAGGGGCATGTCACCTTTGACTCTGGCAGTGGACAGGATGACATGAACAGTGCTTGGTGTGGGCCAGGAGGTATGCAGAAGTTACTCTTCTGTCCCCAGGGCCAGTGTCTTGACTTCCGCAGCATTCCAAAGAGAATGGTCATAGGGTCAAGGTCACATGCATTGGATTTTTCTCATGCAGCAGCATTAGTTTCTCAGAGGCATGGCACGTTTAGGTTTGTGATAAGTACTTGGACACTGACTTTTTTCTTTTAGTTTTGGTATTTTTTCTTAAGTGTTTATAATAATGGTCTTACGCAGTACTTCAGCATAATGTCCTCAGGGTTCATCCATGTTATTTGGTGGCTTACAGCTGCCTTACTAATTCAAGGTACCATAATATTCCATTGTGTAGATGTACCAAAGTTTTGTTTATTCATTCCTTTGTTGATGGGCACTTAGACTGTCTACATCATTTTGCTTTTGTGAATAGTGCTGCTGTAAATGAGCTCTGGTAGCGTAGTGGTTACAAATTGGGCTGCGAGCCGCAAGGTCAGGAGTTCGAAACTACCAGCTGTTCTGCGGGAGAAAGATGAGGCATTCTGCTCCCGTAAAGATTTACAGCCTCGGAGACCCTGTACGGGGTCGCTATGGGTCGGAACCGACTGCACAGCACATAAGAACAACAAAAAACATTGATGTGCATATATCTACTCGTGTTCTGTCTCAATATGTCTTGTGGATATAAGTAGAGGAATTGCTGGATCATAAGGTATTTCTATTTCCAACTTTCTGAGGAAGCACCATACTGTTTTCCAGAGTGGCTGGATCATTTTGCAATCCCATCAGCAATGTAGGAGGGTCCCAGTCTCTTCACATCCTCGCCAGCATTTATTGTCCTTTACTTTTTTGAAATTCTGTTGTGAGATACCTCATTGTTTTGATTTGCATCTCTTAATGGCTAATGATTGTGAACATTTCTTCTTATGTTTGTTGGCTGCCTGGAGCGCCTCCTTGGTGAAGGGTCTGTTCATATTCTGTGCCCATATTTTAATTGGGTTATTTGCCCTTTTTCTTACAGAGGTGTTGTTGTTTCCTATGTATTTCAGAAATTAGTCCCTTTCTGATAACATCATTCCAAAACATATTTTTCCCATTCCAAAACATATTTTTCCCATTCTGTGGGCTTCCTTTTGCCTCTTTGGATGAATGTAAATTTTTAATTTTAGTTATGTCCCAGTCATCTATTTTGTTTTCTTTTGTTTGTGCAGTTTTCACAGTGTTTGTTCGTGTGTGTGCTGACTTTTCTTTTGCAGTTTTTTTTTTGCTGAAGTTTGAGTACCTTTTTTCATGAGTAGGAGCCATTATTCTTCCCCATACTGATAAGCACTGCAGATTTGTCATTTTAGGTGGCACATGGCATCTCTCTCTTGCCCAGGATGTTCTTTTCACAGAGCTTGCTTCTGTCGGCAGAGTGGCTCTTCTCTGAGCTTCCACCCCACCAGGGCTGTTCCCACCACTTTTCCTCTTACCTCCCCCATCGAGCCACACCATCCTCCTTTATAGTTGGAACAAAGTCCATTTTGTTTTCCCAGTACGTGAGGGGACTTCAAAAAGTTTGTGGAAAGATTCCGTTCTCTTTTCATTCCACTTTTCCATGAACTGGCACTGCAGGATAAGCACTGGACTGCTAATTACAAGGTTGACAGTTCAAATTCTTGGAATTCCTACATAGGGTCACAATGAGTTGCATGCAGTTTGTCAGCACTTACAACAATAACAACTGACATACTCCAGCCTAAATACCAGAGGCCCAGTCTCCAGGTCTGAGAAATGTGTCTTTGGACTTGAGCAGCTAATAGTTCTGCAGTCCTGTGTTCCTGGGAGGTGCGGGAACTTAACCAGGTCTCGTGGCTGGAGGGCAGGGGGATGTAGAACTCAAGCCAGACAACCTAGTTCCAGGGCCCGTTGGTCTAATAAGCACTGTGCTCACTGATACAGCAAAAATTAGAACTGGGCTAACAGTTCTAATTTTTACTGTGTCACAAGTTTTAAAAGTATGAGTATT